TGATCCGAAGTCTTCTGCTGTCTTCGGGACTGCTGTTTTGACGTTTGATCAACAGCCGCTGCAGGTGCCTTGCCCCTATCACGAGAGGCGAAGTTCGAGTTCGGAGAATTAGCCATCGGTTGGCTCCTCTCGGCCTTCTTCCTTTTGAGGAATCGTTCGGCTTGCTCTCCTCGGGCCTTCAAATCCTTCCATGTCTTGAGCGGCTCTACTCCCATAACATCCAAGATGTTAATGGACAAATTGTTATGACAAGTCTGCAAGATGAATTCCTCCGTGATGGGATCCTTGCAGTTCATTGCCCGATTGCGGAAGCGTTTGATGAAGGTATCCACCGACTCTTCGTCTTTTTGTTTCTCATCGAAGAGTGTCCTGATCGACACTTCAGCATCATCATCGAAGAAATGAGTGAGGAACATGCTCTCCAGGTAAATGACCGGACCATCAGAGGCTCGTTGCCAGAGATCACTCCCAAATGGGACTTGAAATAGATCAGGTGCTGAGTTGGCGAGCCCTTCCCGTCGAACGGCGTGAAGTTGATCAGGTTGAACTTCGCTGGATACGGGATCGAGTCCCACTCTTTCGGGTAAGGACACGGAATGCCGGTCTTCTTTACCTCTTGAGCAGACATTAAAGCATTAATTTTGCTCTCCAAGTCCTTCATCTTCTTATCTTCACTCGTATCCGTCTTCGAGTGGCTTCGGGGAGAGGTAACGTGGTCCTCCTTTGCATTATCATTCAAGGGACCGCCTCCGTTACTATTGTTGACAGGATTGACATTATCTTCTTCCCGTTCATTCTCATCTCGATTTGGATTATTGCGACGACTGGGTTCTCCTTGGTGAGTTGTCAGTGTCGCGATTTGCTGGTCATGCATTTCCCTCATCTGCTGCATGGCCAGATCCATCTCGAACTTGAAGCTTTCCTTCTGCTTAGCCAGTGCCTCTTCAAGCATCTTGGTTACTTGTTCGGCGCTGATCATAAATGACTCGTAGGGTTGTCCCGTGCTCGATGCCGTGTCATCGGACGCTATAGCCGAGCAAGAATCTGAACCAGCATCTAATACCTCCTCTTCCAAAGGAAGTCCTTTTTGCATCTTTTGGTAATTCTTTCGCTTATTGATTCCTGACCGCAACCGAGTCATACGCCGGGATACATCGGCAAACTGATCTGGGTTTAAGTGTTGCGTCGATTTCCTTCTGCCGGTCATATTGACGGACACTTCTGGAAATTCATCATCTTGGCGAATGGGTTTCCTCCTTTGGAAATGCCTTGGTTTGGCCTCGGACGCCCTGGTAGAGATTCTCTCAAACACCGAGACTCTTTTTGGGGTTTTAGAACAGCAGCATTCCGATAATACTGCTTTGATTATGTTGGCACACGGACAATGAGGCTCCGTGTCTCGATCATTTCTTTTCCGGGATTTATTCGCACCCCCAGCCCTATAGTACAGCTCCTCAGTTTGATAACTGGAGCAACCCATAAAGTGTTGGCACGCCTTCCCAGGTGTAACATCGTCATCAGACAAATATGTTTTCCTCTGGGGACGCGACACTTTATTTGTGTCTCCAAGAGTCACTCGTTCACTTTTACGCCTTTGAGAGCGTGAAAGTTCAACGGGCTCTTGAACTTCGACTCGCAATCCAATGCGGTCGGTAATAGGGGCTTTCCCTTTGTTAGTACGACCCCCAGTCTTGACTGTTGTTTGGGGACTTTTCAACGGTCCCAATCGCTCCTTGACGGGTGCTTTACCTCGATCTTCAGGATCGAGGCGACCCTTCAAAGGACCCCTGGATTTATTGAGATCCACGTTCTTTCCTGACTCCGTTGGAGGTACGGGTACAGGGGAAACGGGATCTGGATTTGAAATAGGCTGGACGATAACTCCGCCCACTTTTGCCTTAAGTGCTGGTTTTGTCTTTGGCACCCAAACTTGCTTGCGCTTAGGCGGCTTCTCCACTGCTTCTCCCCTCTGCATTTCTTTCGCTTTCTGCAAAAGGGCTCGGGCATGTGCGAGCAATGCTCGATGCTTCTTGATTCACTCCTCGAGGGTGGAGCGGGTCCTCTTTACACGAACCCATTCGTTCGTTTCTGTCTTGGAGGAGGAGTTGGTTGTTCGCCGTTGTTGTTCCCGGCGCTGCCTGGATTTTAGATCCACATTATAGCGGATCCCGTCCATCGGCTCCAAAGCCTTGGCCAGCTGACGGACGCCATTGGAGCGTCGCGGTGAGTAAGTGCAACGGCGGCGAGGGGATCTTGGATCTTCGATCCTGAGGGCCCGTGAGCACTCTTGGAAGATGAAATCTTCCTGTGCCTGTTTGGAGAGGCGGATCTGGAGGAGGAGGAAGAGAGGTACTCTTCAAACTTTTGTTGATCGAACTCGTATTCGATCTCTTCATTCACCCGGATCTTGAATGCCGGTTGCGTCACGACGGCCTCGGCAGCGAGGCCGTTGGCTCCCACTGTGGTCGCCAGTTTATTTTTGTCAAAAGTTGCCTTCATCATTGATTTCATTAAAACTTCAAACGTTACAAATGAATTCAAATAACGAAAATAAAAATTACAACTTTCTTGAAAATAAACACAAGATCCGTTTATCGTCTCTTGCTTGCGTGGGTCTTTAGCCTGTGACGGGGACGTCGATATCCGTGGACTACCTGGCAATCAGATCTGATCCAGAAAAATCGGGCAGAGCTTCGTCGATCCGCGAGGAGATCTAGAAACTTGAAGCGCCTATCTCGGATAAAGCGAGATATTTGCTCTTCTTAGGATTACCGACGAGGGGTAATGCTAAGGAACGGATGCGGGTGATGTAGATCTGATGAAGAACTCTCTTGTGTTGAAGTGCTCGATCACTCTTCACTCCAGCAGGGCTTCGCCAATTCTCCAAAAATCCAGATCCTCCAAAAGTGAGGCCTAAGGCTTCTATTTATAGGCAACACCCCTGGGGTGTCCTCAAAAATCTAAGACACCCCTGGGGCGTCCCCAAAAATCTAGGACACCCCTGGGGCGTCCCCAAAAATCTAGGACACCCCTGGGGCGTCCCCAAAAATCTAGGACACCCCTGGGGCGTCCCCAAAAATCTAGGACACCCCTAGTGATTCGAAGTGCGTTGGAAGTCTGACGAAGAGTTCTATCAGCTCCAATGGTTGGATTATCTGTAGAACGAACGAGACACGAAAGGCGTTGTTCTTTTTGTAAACATCGCGGGGCTCTCGATTAGCCTGTGCCTTCGTTATTCCGAAATTCTGTCAGCTCACGTAGTTCGTCGATTCACTTCAAGCGTTCACCGACGTCAATCGAACTCCTGTGAACCAGATAGTGACGTTCATTGTCGTTCCTTAACACTGAGCTGTTCGTGGAGACGAACTCAAATTTTTATTCTTGTGGTAAGGGAAAGACACTTGCAGCGGCTGCTGATGCTAATCAGACTTCACGACAGCAACCTCAGAAGCAACGAATGACTCCGGATTCGAGACTCCAAAAAGAGTACTCCTTCAAGGATAAAGAGGTTCCAGCTATCTTTAAATACCTCCTTGAAAATAACAAAATCAAGCTGTCACCTATTACGAATCAGGAGGAAGCTAACAACATTTTGGATCCAAAGTATTGTGCGTACACAGGAGGATCCTTCATCCCACCAAGGCTTACTTCACTATCAAGAATAGCATTCAAGCCTTGGTTGACGCTGACATCATAACGTCGAAATGAACCGCATGAGAACGGTCTCCTCCGATGAGTATAAGAGGTTAAACTACTTCTCACATTCCTCCGATGAGTATAAGAGGTTAAACTACTTCTCCCATTCATTCGACGGGTTTACGAGGTTAAACATCTTCTCTTATTTCCAATAACAGAAAGTTCCTGGAGAATATTACTCTTAATATTCTTAAGGATAACCCAACAATGTGGCCGAATACAATTGGATTTAGGTTCGCCAAAGAGCTGGGGGTGGGATACCTCAATACATTCTAAAGGGAAATCCCGGAAGGATACTACACATGGTATTCTTAAGGATAACCCAAAACCGATTATGCATGGTAAAAACCAGTAATCAGAATAATTTATTTTTAATCATCATTAAGAATCTCCCACTATGGCTATTTAATCATTTCCAAGATGACTAAAACCATCCTACTGTGATTTTCGGAGCACTCTTTCATTGAGATGAGATTCAACGACTGCATATAGTCAATCTTTCCTCACGAAACTCTCAGGTGTAATTGTGGAGTGCTAGATGATTCACGGTCCTCCACCACAAAGTCCCTCACTAATCAAATTACACTTTGATATTTAACCATTTTACTATATTATATTATTATCTATGGATATGATCCTGCATTTCGTGAGAGGTAATCGATAAAAATCTGCTTTTATTGATCCTGTGAATGGATATATTATCAGATAGACATAAAATACTCTTCCTGATAGCTAGTGCAGCATGTGATCGATCATTTATAATATAAAGGTGGCCTCTTTAACCAATTGTCAAAGAATTACTATTGTGATGAATTTGCTTGGGGTTGTCACAAACTTCAATATTCATTGTTTTCAAAAAAAAATCCTTGGCTTACTAATTATTACTTGTTGAGATTGTTGCCATATTGAATAAGGGACCAAATTTGATCAATATTTACTTTCATACTTTAATTAAGTTACTGTTGGGTGTTGGTGGTAGTGATCAATTAAAAATTCTTAGAACAAAAATAATTTACAAGTTTGCAGTAAATCAAACAATGATCTTAGCTTTTTAAGTCAAAAAATATTTGAATAAACTTAAAATTTTGAAATATTTTCTACATTACTATAACTAAAATTCATAATAACAATTACAATATCCCAGATACGTATATTCATCCAAGTTTAGCTTAAATTCATTTACATTAATTTTTTTAAATATTTAAATAAAATACTAATAAATCTTATAATTCAATTATATATATTTGAACTCAAGATAAATCTTACTTATTTAAAGTAATGAAATAAATATAAAACAAGAATTTTTTAATATTTAACCACGTGCATTACACGTGCATAGAAAATAGTATTAAAAAAAGCAGAGAGAGGGCGGGGCGTATTCAAAATATATCATACACATCACGTCACGTGCCTGTTTACACTAACCTCTATACATTAGAAAAATTAATACGAAAACCCCCCAAACAATTAATGATAGGATAATTTTTTGAAAACACCCGATTTTCAAATTTATATAATAAAATCGACTCTTTTTGAAAAAAATCAGTAAAATCGATCCTTTTCAGATGAAAATGATCGGTTTTGCTGCAGAAGAGTTTTTCGAACTGCATGGGACTAGCACGGGAGTCCCGTGCATTTCGTTTTTTGAACTGCACGGGACTAGCAGTCCCGTGCATTTTGTTTTCTTTTTGAATTGCACTAAGCAGATAGTTTTGAAATGCACAGGACTGCTAGTCCCATACAGTTCAAAAAGAAAACGAAATGCATGAGACTGCTAGTTCCGTGCAGTTTGAAAAACACTTCCTCAGTAAAATAGACCTTGCTTTTTTTTCAGAAAGGGTCGATTTTGCTATATCAATTTAAAAAATCGGGTGTTTTCAAAATTTTATCCTTAATGATAATTTAATGGAATTTTCTTTTTATTTTTCTGTATACACAGTTATTCCCCTCTTTATTTTCCTGCAATATTCGAGATATAATCTCCCTTCTGGATTTTTCTACTGTTGTCACGAGTGACCGCACTTCACAATGAGCCCCCTCATTATATCTTCTCCATTTTCACCATTTCCCTCGCAAAATCTCACCATATAACCTCAAAAAAAAAAAAAGGAACAATGGCGAATAATATCGGAGTTGGAGAGCTGAAACCCAACAAGAAAGTGATACTAAAGAATTACGTAAATGGGTTTCCGAAAGAGAGCGATATGGAGATCGTGAGGACCGAAACTGTTCGATTGAAAGTAGCAGAGGGATCAAAAGCTGTTTTATTAAAGAATTTGTACTTGTCTTGTGACCCTTATATGAGGAATCGCATGTCCAAGCACGAGGAGGCCAATTATGTCCCTGATTTCGTCCCTGGATCGGTATATTTGCCTTTTTAATATCTTAAATTTTTTTAGTTCTTTTCTAGTGGGTTCTGTGTATTGAGGTATTTGGGTACATGGGTTTGCTTGGTTTTGGGGGGAAATTGATTTTTAATTGTGTTAAAATTGTTTTATTATTATTATTCAGGTTGTAGTATAGCTTTAGAATATAAAATCATAATCCTTAACCTTCACTAGAATTTTAGAGTTTTGGAGTAATTGTTAGGAATTTTAGGGTGACATCAGGACAACTTAGGTTCAAATACGAATTTAAAGGATTTTTTTTTTTTAAATAGCACCGCCGCGTGTAATGATTTGGAACTTTAGAGATACTGTCTTAAATATTATAATGGATTTGTTCGTTCAAAAGTTCAAACTATTAGTTAATTGTTGGAGTTCTGACAATTGTCATATGTCTGTCACCCTTTGCCGAAGCAGGACACTCTTGTCCATATCTACTGATCAAATAATATATTTTCCAAGTGAACATGATATCAGAGTTTGCTTGTTATTTGATAATTACATTAATGACTTACAAGAAATGTTATGATATGGAGGTAGATGTAAATACTGTGGGTCAACCTTGCATATGATAAGTGCTACAACAATCTAGGAAGAATAAGATAGCATCAGGGTTCTATTTTCCTAATAACGGAGCTTTTCCTAGGAGCATTATTGTTTCTTAATGCAGCTTACATTGTAAAAGGACCCAGCATCACATCCATAGTCCTTTATTTTCTTTTACATGTTAGTTTCTTTTTTATGATGGTAATGATTCCTGTTGTTATGGCACAGCCTATAAGTGGTTTTGGCGTCGCCAAAGTATTGGATTCTGGGCATCCAGATTTCAAGGTTGGTGACTATGTGTGGGGGATAACTGGATGGGAAGAGTACAGCCTCGTAACATCACCGGAAACCCTGTTCAAAATTAAAGATACCGACATACCCCTTTCTTACTACACTGGACTCTTGGGTGAGTTAATCTACTTTGGGATTCTATTCTTTCTTTTATTTGATATAATTCTAGTTGCAAGTGCCGGTTTATATAGCTTGAATTGACTTCATTTATTGATGCCGTATTGCAATCAGTATCTCATTGAGATAATTTTTCAGTTTTTTATTTGAAAGAAATTCAATGTTTTATCTGTTTGCTCTTGAGTACTATAACTGTCAGAGTCCAAGTCGTTCTGAAATGGTTAATGGAGAGAGATTCATTAAAATGGGGGGCGTTTTTCACCATTAATTTAAATTTTACTTTATGGTATGCCAAACTTAATTGCCAAGTCTTCAGAAGTATTTGTCCGTTGAACTAAAACTGAGTTCTTTCTCTAAATGCTCTTCATAGTTCAACACAGAATGTCCGATACATGAAAAATCGATAAAAGTAAACAATTTCTGCTTCTATCCCGTAATTTTTTTCCTAAAATCGAACAGTTCTTTATTTGTTCTAATATGCAGATGCTCAAGGAGAAACCAAAACTGCTCGAAAGTGTGCTTAAATGCCTGTAGCTAGTAATTATGCACACAAGTACATACAAAATATACCGGAAGTGTGTAGACGAAATGAAGTGTTCACTTTGGAACCTGTGTATCTAAAAGAGAAGTGGTAAATTTAATAAACAAGAGAGTAAAGTTGAGATATTACCAAAAAATTTTTAACTTATAACCATAACGATGATTCTATACTAATGCTTCCAGCGGATACCAGCCCAATGTCTTATGCAACCAAAGAGTAGTTAGACTTTATGACTGCATAATCTCGTAAACCACTTTTGATTGGTAATAATTTCCTATGTTTCCACATTTGTCTGCAGGCATGCCAGGAGTAACAGCTTATGCTGGATTTTACAAGGTTTGCTCTCCGAAGAAAGGGGAAACTGTTTTTGTATCAGCAGCTTCAGGCGCAGTTGGCCAGCTCGTCGGACAGTTTGCTAAACTGATGGGCTGTTATGTGGTTGGAAGTGCTGGATCTGATGAAAAGGTATACGTGCTTGAGAGCTGCTTAATTTTATCCTCTTTTTTTCCTTAAGTGTGAACGACATGGTTTATTTTAGGATTATCTGTAGATGCACCCCTTGAATTATTCCCATCCCCCTTAAGTGTGAACGACATGGTTTATTTTAGGATTATCTGTAGATGCACCCCTTGAATTATTCCCATCCCTTGTATGAGAATGTAGCTACTTTAGGATTATCTGTAGATGCACCCCTTGAATTATTCCCATCCCTTGTATGAGAATGTAGCTACTTATTGTCTTTATTCAATTTTGAGTTAATTGTGTATAGACCCGCTGTGGTATAATATACTACCCCTCAGAGAAAGGGATTTTCTTTTCTTTTCTTCTTCTTTTTTTTGGTGAATAGACCCATCAGGGTAAAATAGTCAAAAAAAAGTCACTTAGGGGTCTGTCTACAAAAGCGAAACTAGAGGGTCCAAGACAGCTGTACTACAGGTGCTTATTTCGCAATTAACTCTTGTATTTTATTAACACATAGAGCCCCAACACTCATGACGGCATTATTTTCATGTTAGTTTTTAAACTCACATGAAAATCACATGGAAGTATTCTTGTTCTTGGGAAATGTCTACCTCTGATCTTGATTCTATGGGAGTTTAAATATTAAGGAGAAAATAGATGTCACAGGACCAGATGCTAATAAAACAGGATATTATGATAAGTAGGTACACCCCCATAGAATATATAGGTGATCATACTTTAAAATATCTGAAAGGTGGAGCGATAATTTGAAGGAAACATGCTAAAATTATTTCAACATCTCCTATTCATAGATCCGCGCCTGCCATAAAAATTAAGGTGAACGTATAAGATTAGTCAATAAAATATGTGGGCAGCACACAAGAAATAACTGCCTAAAACGGAAGCTTGTATCTCTGTGAAAAAATTGATGGGCATGTCGATTGCATAGTCTGAGCCATTTATCCTAAGCTTTTCCATGGATATATCATCTCAGGTTAATCTTTTGAAGAAAAAATTTGGATTTGATGAGGCATTCAATTATAAGAAGGAAAAGGACCTTAATGCAGCGTTGAAAAGGTCAGTTTCATGCCTTTACTTTTGATTGAACTGATATTTTTCTTTCAAGAATTGTGGTCGCTACATCATTCTAGAGAATTGAGCATTGTACTATAGTGAATTATGATTGCTTTGCGGTATATATCTTGCTTTGCGGTATATATCTAGTTTTATCTCAGTGAGATCCTCACTTAAAAATTTCATCGTGGCCTCATATTTTTAGATAGTAAGGGTGTTTGCTGACTAATCTAAGGAGACTCGCCTCGCTTTTTGCCTTGACAAAAAAAAGGGTGTCTGCTGACCTATCTCATTAATTAAAAGGATTAATCGCAGATGGAACCCCTGTATCGTTGTTTTATGTGCTACCTCACTCATTCTATTTTTGCAGATAAACCCCTTGAGTGACATTTTCTGACTCTTTATCCCTTGGTGAAAGAGAAATTTGTGACAGATAGACCCCTGAAGATAAAAGAGACAAATATTTTCGCTTATGGAGTCTGTGCAAAAATAAAACTAGTGGGGTAGTAAATTTGAAACAGTGGTGAGGCTTCTTGCCCTACTTTTTCCCCTTAAAAGAACAATAATACAAGGGGTCTATCTGCAATTAACCCTACATAAAAAATGAATACGGTTGGATTTGCTCTTGGATATGCCTCCTCTTAGTTTTCCCTTTAACCATTAAAAAACAACAAAGATCATTGGATTTTCATATGCCAGGTCACTATCTAAAGAAGAATTTCAATATAATTTCAGGTGCTTTCCTGAAGGAATCGACATCTATTTCGAGAATGTAGGCGGAGAAATGCTCGATGCTGTTCTTCTCAACATGAGGAACCATGGCAGAATCGCAGCATGTGGGATGATATCTCAATACAACCTTGATAAACCTGAGGGTGTACACAACTTGATGTTTGTTGTCACGAAGCGATTGAGGATTGAAGGGTTCAATGCGTATGATTATTTCCCTATTTATGATCAGTTTTTCCAGAAGACTGTGCCGTATATAAAAGAAGGAAAGATCACTTATGTGGAGGATGTTGTGGAGGGGCTTGAGAATGCACCTGCGGCATTGATTGGTCTGCTCTCGGGGAGAAATGTCGGGAAACAGGTGGTGGTTGTTGCTCGTGAGTAGGAGAGGGTTATACGTATGAAGTTTGGTGTGAATGAAAGTATTTTGATAAAACTTGAGGTATAGATGGTATTGAACCAAAAATGTCTTGAGTGTCGTCGCTGTGTGTGTATGTTTTTCAAACTTGGTGGTGCTTTCTTTTTATGCAATAAACGTGTCTTATTGACATCGTATACATCTATTTTGTTTGTTATGCTCTGAGTATGTCGATCATTTGGTCTTAGGGTTCTGGATTTATGCAGTGTGACTGATGCACCTATTGCTATCCACAAGAATTATGTGTTTTAAGTGAGGCGTACGATTCTTAAGCTTTTGACTGGATTTTGCCGGTAATGAGCTCCACACATAATGTAGCATGAGTATTAGATGTGCACAAATAATATCCGTACCTGAGAAAATATCTGCATCTATATCCGTTAGGATATAGATATGCAAGGTTATTAAAATCTGTAACTAATAGGATATGGTTACTGTTGATGTTATGTAATCGCACAGATAAACTGATAGGAACTGGGTTGATTAGGGGTTGCTAACTTCTGCGAATATCTTGTTTGGAGTTGAACTGTTCTTCCCTGCACATGTAGCAACTCGTATGAGGGCGGGGTCTAATTCCCCCGTTGTTCCTCTGACGATCAAGTTAGCAAGGTACTTAAGTGAGGGAAAATGGCTAACTGTAGCAGTTCTTAAATGCGATGGAATGGAGAAAAATGTAGAGAAATTGCTTACATTCGTGTTGGGAATAGTTTTCCCTTTTATGGTAATGAAGGAATTACATTTTGGTCTCTTCAGCCGAGTCTGGGCTAGCGGTTGAGTCAGCGTCGACTTTACAGGTGTCAACTGTGGAGTGGTCGCGAAATAGGTGCGGTCACTTTGGCATCATGAGACGGGATAGGCGGCATGCGAAGCCAGCGTGGTCCGATGTGTCATAAATAGTATCGGGGATGGAGAAATGATGGCACATGTCAAGTATTTAATATGATGTCGACACGCTGTCAGCGAGGGGCTCAAGGTCGCAGTCACCTTTTGTCTTGTATGGAGGGGTGTTGAGAGGTACCGCCTTTCGAGTCGGCTCTCGTGAGATGTCGGCCAGACAACTAGTCAAGTAGATTTGTGGCGAGTCGTCTTTGACTAAATGGCCGACAAGTACCGCCTTTTGATTAATTCATACAATACCTTCCTTGTGAGATTCGGTATTTTTTTATACTATAACTTGATTGTGCACTTGCAATCTCAACATATTCACAAACACACCACATCAGTTGGCAGAGTTCCACTCTAAAGTAACGCAATCGCAGATAAGGATGCTCCACGGGAGATTTGACATCCCTCAAGAGTATCAACTGATGGCGCTGACAAGATCGGAGGTCGTCTACGATCACGGACCGGATCGGTCTCCATTGTACCTAAGGAACCTGGAGTTCTGCCTACGATTGCCTTTGAATCCTTTCCTTCAGCAAGTCTTCACGACTCTAGGGGTGTCACCAGCACAGATAAAGTCAAACGTCATTGCGGCCCTGGCTGGGATCGTGGTGATCTGCCATTGGCTGGCGATAAAACCATCTCTGAAGGTGTTGGGCCGTCTTGTAAGCGTCAAGGTGAACCAGACCGAGCCACACTTTCACTTTCAAATAGTGGGCAAGTATAAGCTCATTACCAGCCTTCATGACTCAAACAAGAACTAGAAAGAGAAGTTCGTCTGGGTTGTGGGGGACGACTTGGAATTGGATTGCTCAAACTGGCCTGAGGTAAGGAGGGAGGTGCTAATGGCCAACGATCTGTCTAATGCCGAGAGGGATGCGCTGGATCCAACATCTCGATTGTGCCTCCCATCGCTAGGGACCAGGAGAGGGCTTCTGCAAGAGAGGTGTTGAGGACCGTGAGAGCGGGTCTAGGCTTCGATCCCTCCGTCGATCCCTCCTGTCGGACCAGTTGGAGCGGGAGTCGACTCTTGGGGGGTCTCTCAGCCACTCCTTCCTTTTTGGGGGCCTCTAGCTAACTCCGGTGTCGGCACCACTATCGGTGCTATCGCAGATGTCGACAGTGCTGGTGTTGCTGGTGTTTCTGCTACTGCTGCTACTACCGAGGTTGCGACCGTGGATGTTTTTGTGGTCTTGGCTTCCGTCTTATAAGCTCGGTCATCCTCCATGTCCATATACCTGTGAGCTTTGGCCATTAGTTGCTCATAATTGGTGACTAACATCTTGGCCAGTGAGTCCGCCAGATCATTGTTCTGCGGTCTGGCTACAAGAGTGGATATAGTTACCGAACTCCCTGGGTCGCTGACCTCTAGTCTCTTCACCTGGAACCTCTTGAAGTAGGCTTGAAGGCTCTCTCCAGGTTCCTGCCTCATCTGTATCAACACGTGAGGGGGTAGCTTCTGTTTGGTGTCAGCTAAGAAGTGGTGGATAAACTTTCGGTTGAGCTGCTGGAAGCTACTGATGGACTTCTTCTCAAGGACATTCCACCAGAGCTTGGTGCTCCCTGACAAAGTGACGAGGAATCACCGACAAATGATAGCTTTTGATGCCTGGAGCATGCGAATTATTTCATAATAGTTCTGGACATGCTCGGTAGGGTATCCTTCGTCTTTGTACTTCTCCACCTGAGGCATCTTGAACTTCTCACACGGGGCATTTATGAGGTCGTCGGTAAGGGGAGTGTTCCCCCGATGGCTTCGGCGACTGGTCTGTATACCCGATCATATTCAGACACCCCGATGTGGCTGAGGGGGTTGGAGAGGCATGTTGATGACGGAGAGTCTTGAACATCCCTCCCTCGGCGTGCTCTCTATGGCGGCTAGGGTTCTCGCCGGTGGCTTCAGAGTAAGGGAGGAGGTGCCGACAAGGATTCGCTGGGCGAGTTAACTAGTGTGGTGGTGGGGTCGTGTGCTCGTCACGATCCTTCCACTGCTTGACGGAAGCATGAGGAGTCAGGGGGGACTACATATTGAGCTTGTGAAGGGGGATGAGTCCCCGATCGCTAGTCTCATGAGGATGGAGGAATGATGGAAGTAGCTTGTTGCGGTTGTGTAAACTGGCTGAGGAGCTCAGTGGAGAAGGTAGTGAGTTGTTGTTGAAGGGATTGAGAGATCTTCTAAGCCGTCTCTTCAAGCTGGGCTTGAGTGACATAGCTCCGGTGTGGTTCTCGAGGGATGGATTGATCAGCCCTATACTCAGAACCAGACATACTTGCTCAAAAAAGAGAGAAGGTGCCACGGTGGACGCCAAATTGTTGATGTTATGTAATCACACAGATAAACTGATAGGAACTGGGTTGATTAGGGGCCGCTAACTTCTCTGAATATCTGGTTTGAAGTTGAGTTGTTCTTTCCTGCATGTGTAGCAACTCGTAAGAGGCAAGGTTTGATTCCCCCGGTGTTCCTTCGGCGATCAAGTTAGCAAGGTACTTGAGTGGAGGGAAATGGCGAACTATAGCAGTTCTTAAGTGTAGTGGAATGGAGAAAAATAGAGAGAAATTGCTTACCTTCATGTTGGGAATAGTTTTCCCTTTTATGGTAATGAAGGAAGGGTATTTTGGTCTCTTCGGCCGAGTCTGGGCTGGCGGTTGAGTCAGCATCGACTTTACAGGTGTCTGCTGTGGAGTGGTCGCGGAATAGACGCGGTCACTTCATCATTAATGAGATGGGATAGGCGGTGTGCGAAGCCGGCGTGGTCTGATCTGCCATAAATAGTACTAGGATGGAGAAATGACGGCGCCTGTCAAGTATTTAATGTGATATCGACCCTCTGTCCGCGGGGGCTCGAGGGTCGCAGTCGCCTTTTGTCTTGTATGGAGGAGTGTCGAGAGGTACCGCCTTTCGAGTCGGCTCTCATGAGATGTCGGTCAGACAACTAGTCGAGTAGACTTGTGGTGAGTCGTCTTTGACGAGAGGACCGACAAGTACCGCCTCTCGAGTCGACCCAACGAGATGTTGACTCGACGAGTCGGGTAAATCGGGACTCTGGCTATCCCAAGTGTCGAGTTGACTGAATTAGGCATAATGTGGGATACTTGTTTGTTGTTGACAAGAGATCACAATTTAACGACTGAAAACACCATAACAGTTACGGATATGGTTATGTAGTGAAATATCTAGATCCTTGTCTAAAATACCTGAGTATGTATTGATCATATTGTTGCAACAATTTTAATCCTTATAGTAATGGATTTGAGGTTAATTTTTGATGATCAAGATATCTCATTGTAGCTTTTTAGATATAACGAACATATTAATGAATTCTCTTGTATCATATCAACTATATTTTTTGTCAATATTGTCTAGCTTTCTCATATTTGTTTTGTATCCGCATGTATATTCGCTTATATATCCACATGCATAGCATTATCCATATCCGATTTTAGCGGATATGGTACGGATAGAATAAATATCATATCCAAGCCGTATCCAGACCGTATGCCTATTATGTATACAATGTTAAAGCATGAAACTATACCAGACCCATGAAAGTGACTTGGCTAGAATTTACGCAGACATCCTCATTGCTTTAAACTCCCATCGACTACTTCGTACTTGTATGCTTCCAAAGCTCCAGCGTACATCACCATACGGGGGGAAAAACAAAAAAACATAACATACTCGATTTATGCTCGATTTACATAGATGCTGTATAGAACCTTTATGTTCCCAGCATACTTAACTTTTCCAAATCTTTGTCGAAGAGTAAAAACTTCTCAATTACATGTGCATCTGTACGTCCAAAATCCTAGTAAATAATTATGAATACAATTATATACAAGCGACACTTGCTAAATAACTTTTCTGCCTACCCCCCGCAGTCTGTACGTATAATCACTTGAAATCGATATTCGATTTTTCCAGTAAAATGTACCAAACAGGAGAGTCGAAGTGTATTGTCGGTAGGCTTGTGTTTATTTCCTTTTCATGTTCTTGCTGAGTCTGGAATAGTGTCCTTTTTTTATTCCCTCTTGTCTTAAACTTATACAATTTTGTATTTTTTTCACAGTTGGAGCGGAATCCTGCATGTTACATATTCCTCCAAGTGACATGTTGTTAGAAACAAAAGTGGCAGTTCAATTGGAACAGTAAGTGTTAGTTTCAACATTATGCAGTTCCAACTCTTGCTGTTGGAACCCCCTTCAATCTGAAAAACAAGTTATATATGCTAGGGAAGATATGTTGTCTTAGAAAATGTCTATAAGATGGAGGCCCGACTTGTAAGTTACAATGACAATAGTTATTGGACACAAGTTTTATGAACGTAGTGTTTGAGGAAGCCTATAATATGGAACACCAAAGTGAATGCAGTGACTAAATCTGAGCAATTATGGAATAATGATGTAGTGTTTTTTTTTCCTTTGCTAAAGTTAATGTTATTCGGCTGCTTCCTCCACAATGACACTAGTTGTGGAGACTCCAATTACCACCTAATCGGGGAGGATCTGAATCGTTGTGGGTATTAGACCGTTAGATGGGGAATGAGCATCTGAGTATTATCCTAGAACAATGGTTGTGCCATATAGTTGACCATGTGATAATGGGGAATAATTTCCTATTATCTTGTTGTTTGAGGCCTTGATAAGGTTGCGTTGTGTTGAATTCAATCTGTTGTGGGTCAAATATTAATCTTAACTTTATTTCTGTATATGTTTCTAGTCTGACATATAATATTTCTAATTGTAGCCTGACATAAAATATCTGAGCTTGTAGTAAACTGTCTTTATCTTTTCCCTGCTTGCGTCGGCTATACCATTCTTTCTATCGCGCACCTCTTTTATATAAGTTCTTAATTTTCTTTTTAAAAACTTAAAGTTCTATACCATTCTTTCTATCGCGCACCTCTTTTATATAAGTTCTTAATTTTCTTTTTAAAAACTTAAAGTTATACACATGCTTTTCTTTTCTTATGCTTCTTCCTAGTTCAGGCAATCACAATGGATGTATTTTTCCTTTCTTCAAAGATACAGTTGTGTAGTTAGGCTCACTTGCACAAATTTCTGACTATAAGGTGCAGGCATTCTTTCCATGACTTTACTTGTAATTTAGTACTGTATTACCTGGTTGTGATGATGATAGATGTATGCAATATATGTATAAGACTCTTTTGAAGTCTGATGTTCATGTATGTGGGTGAGGGTGGATACACTAGGCGACCGAGCATTGTTTATCCCATTATAACTACAGCTTCTCCTTGCCAGCTTCCAATGCGGGGTTGCAAGAAGAACTGCATATATTATCCTGTATCGTTACGGGAGATACAGAAAGAAAAGGAGTTCCATTGCGGCAGGAGATCTATTTGAGGTGTCTGATTCAGAGACTGGAAGGTTGATTGATGACCGACCACATCAGGATGCAGCAATTGACATTGATTTGTCGCAGTTTTTTGGACAATGCAGGGACTTTGGCTCTTGCCGAGGCTGGACCATGGCAATCCTTACTGGGCTCGTAATGCTGGAAGGTCCCAATCTCTCACGAAGGCGAGAATAATGTCAGTTTGCAGCATTGCCTATGTAGCTAAAAGATATCATCAGTTGTTTTTGCCTCTTCAGTAAAGGGTCCTAACTAAGTTTCTAATTTTGTAGATTGATACATATGACTTTCCCTCTTCAGTAAAGGGTAATTGTATCAGATTTGTTCTTGCAATTGGTTGCATATTGCTTCATGAAACCATTCGAAAGGTTTTGTCTCAAATTTGTCATTGTTATAATTTACAACTAATATTAAGTTTCTAACTGTGTGGATTGTTAGCGTATGATTTCCCTCTTCAGTAAAGGTTAATCGTATCATATTTGTTCTTGCAATTTTAATGGTGAACTGTGAACTGTTTAATTTATGGGTTTGTTTCCGTATATTGCTGTTATTCGATGTTTCTGCAACCTTGAGAGTGAATGGAAAATGGTGTTTCCCCCCTTCTTCTGCATAACCCCTCTATTTGTTGGCCTTGTCCGTTCATACAAAAAAAATTACATACAGAGCATACAATAATAACAAGACATTCCCAACATTTCCACCTTTCTAAACTTCATAACAGATTATATGAATATCCCACCGCTCACAAAAAAGATTAAAAAATAAATAGACATGTTTAATAAACATGTCATTCGGGTTATATGGGTCGGGTCGGGTAACCCGTTTAGTAAACGGGTCGAATCACATTGACCCATTTATTAAACGGGTCGGGTCGGGTCACACTTATACGGGTCGGGTCACACTTATACGGGTCGGGTTAACTATGACCCGACCCGACCCGACCCAACCCGACCCGTTTGCCACCCCTAGGAAGTGTATTGTCTATTGTGGTCTGAGCATAGTGTATCATCTCAGCATGAGGAGTTATATGTTATGTTAGCAACGCACCATCTAGAAGAGTGGGGTATGAAAAGCCGCCGAAATGCAAGACGCGTGTATGTGTTGTAAAATTAATGTGTTCAATGATCTCTCTTGTTGATTAAGGGTATAATTGTTTGGACTTTCACCTACAAGTCAGGCTCATAAACTGTCATCCTGAAGTGCATTTCTCAAGTATTTGAGTGGCATTTTCTTCCAGTGGTTCACTGTATGACTAATCACCAGATCAACACACAAATCCAAAAAATCTACTAAACCGATGGACAGCTTATACCACATCATCAATCTAAGGGGCACAAACCACTGAAGGACCGATGCGTAGATATTTTCTCATCTTTTAGACTTCTAGCTCAATCCCAATGCTTGCATGTCTAAAACTTGAGAGGTAACTTTTTTTCTATGGAAAGTATGAAGACACCATGGAGTCTGTACCGCAATGGTAAAGCCTCTCGCAGTGGCTTTGCAGTACAAGATTCCATCTCCATAAATTTTGAACCTAATCAATCTTAACATGAAGGTACCAAAGCATAGAATGTGGCATAGGTTACTTTCGCTAAACGAACTCCCCGAGCTCAAGTGCGTGCACATTGCATTATCACAAGACAAAACTATAGTTGGCAAAGATCTATACAACGTGCAGTATCACAAGAAAAAACTATAGCTGGCAAAGATATATACAACAGACCATTCTTTCCCCAAAATACCCTCTTGGCCAAATTTTATTTAAAATTAAAACACTTTTTTATTACATTTGCATCTGCATGTCTCCAAAATCTTCATTAAATAACAGTATTCTAAGCACCATAATCCTTTGAAGGGGTGTGGGCATCATGAGTTAGGGTTGGCTGCTCAATAGACAGAAGAAACCCAATCTGTTGCGACTATAGGATCTTTGTAATCTGATGCGATAGAATCAAGTCCCTCGTGTTTCTGTGCACATAATAATCAGCCCCATCTCTAAATTTTACAGCGGCAAAAATTGCAACCATCATCCCTTGCATAAAAAATAGTGTGATGGTCTACAACGACTTATTCTGAAAATGTATTTTGTATGTGAGAATCCTCGACTATTGGGTTGTTATAAAATAAATAGAAGAGGATTCTACTACTGCCTTTGATTATAGCAACTATCTATTCTCAATCTCATCGTCATTGACCTCCTCAGCTTGGCTGGCCAGCTTGACAATGTCTTCGACAAGAATCTTACCATCTGTTGCAAGAATATTATGGGTGCAAAGAAAATCAGAATTGAGAGTATAATAAGATATGAGGAAATTTTTGTATGCTGACCTCTGTCTCTTGAAAGGTTATTAATGAGCTCTTGGACGCTCTCCTTGCCCAAGGTATCTTTAAGGTACATAGCTGCAGTGGCAACCTCTTCTGGTGTCACTTTGCCATCGTGATCCCTGACAATTACAACGTACACATGATTGGTAAGTGGAAAGTTTGACAGGGAGAATATATATCAGAAAAATTAGTATCCGGTTTCAACTCTAAATGTAAAGGCTATTACTCAGTTAGAATAAACTGCTACTGATCAGGTTCATAAAATTATAGAAATACTCGCTGTTGTTAAATGGTGTACTAAGACAAATGTTTGACAGACCTTAATTTTTCTATTAGCCAGAAATAGTTTAAAAGAAAGGCCACTGACTTACTGCCCTTTTCAATTACACTGGCTATTCCAATAGTTAATAAATCAATATTTTGACAACAACAATAATAATAAGTTAAGGCCATGCGGTGAGGTAGGGGTGCATTCGGTCCGGATACGGCTCGGATATGATGCTTACCATATTCATATCCGCTTACCCATCTCGGATACGGATATACTTCGGTAAGAAAAATTTATAATCATATCCGCTAAAATCGGATACGGTTACGGATATACATATGGATATATAAGCGGATATGCATGCGGATACAAAACAGATATGAGAAAACTAGATAATATTGAGAAAAACATAGTTCATGTGATACAAAAGAGTTCGTCAATATGTTCATTATAACTGAAAAGTTAAGATTAGACATCTTGATCATCAAAATTAACCACAAATCCATAATCTAAGAATCGAAACTATTGTGAGAGTATGACTAATATGTATTCGAAAATTTCGGATACGAATACGGATATTTCACTACAAAACCATATCCGTAACCATATCCTATCAGTTATAGATTTGAGTAATCATATTTGTATCCTAACGGATACGGTTACGGATATTTCCTCGAACACGGATACGGTTTAGAATCCCCAAGGTGAGGTCCACCTTACTAGTCACATCAAAAGGTGTGGCTCTCACCACTCTTATCTCTTAATAACTCATTTAGCAAAATGAGTTGTCACCTCATATCCATCACTCTAATAGGAGAAATTTTTGAAATAGGCCAATTTTGATCAATATTTAGCAAAACCGACCGTTTTGCTAAATATTTAGCAAAAATGATCTTTTTTTGCCAACTCACGAAAGCTGACCAAAAAGATGTCACTTTTGTTGAATTTGAGTTTTAAAACGCACAGTACTAGTAATCTCGTGTGTTTAGTGGCCACAAATCGGCCACTAAACTAAACACAACCCACGGAACTACTAGTCCCATGGGTTTTTTGTTTTAGTATTACAAAATCTGCGAGACTAATAGTGTCGTAGATTAAACAAAGACTTTGCTGGAGCTGCCCAGCAAATCACGGAACTACTAGTCCCGTGTATTTGTCAGGCATATAAAAGCCACAGTCATGCCCAAAAATTAGGGCACAGCCTCATCTATCTCTCTCCTGATTTCTCTCCCTCTACAAATCCGAATTGCATCAACCCTCTCCCAATCTCTCTCCCGCAATAACCCTAACCTCATTCCATTGATTCGCTTCCAAATCACCTCTTTCTCCCTCAATTTTCTCTCTTATTCTCTCCAAACTCATTCTCTTCAAACCCAAATTAAGATCTTCCCAAAAGTTCACTCCGACATTGTTGAACTCCGACGTCGTCTAGCCTCTTCGACGCAAACGAATTTTAATTCTTCATCAAGGTATCAATTCGAAATTTTTATAATTTTCTCTCTATTATTTAGTTAAAATTGTAGTTTGGAAATAACTATATATTTAGAATAATTTTTTTGCCAATTTTGATTAAAAAATTGATTTGGTTAAAATTTCATAGATTTAAGTTGATATAGATATATAAAAATTAATTGTTGAATAATATAGATAATTTGCATATGATGAATGTTAATATTTCAGTTCGAATGGCGAATAGAATACCGGTTATTTGCCTATTCAATGGGACACTGAGCGTTGGAATGAATAACATGCCTATATATGATAAAAGATCTAGAAAAATATTCATGCTATCTATAAATTGTAAGTTTTATAGAATGATGGAGCAAATATACAGAGTTACTAGAATTAATCATACAGAGTATGCCACTAAGGTCTTCTGTAATTGTCCGATAAATAAAAAAAAGAACGATTGTTGTAGAGATCACCAATGATCAAGAAATGAGTGACATAATACAACCTATGGAAAATCAAATCTCAATTGAGTCGTTCAGTGAAAATATTCTAATATCCGGTGTTGCCCAAGTTTCATATGCTCCTGAAGAGTTCTCCCGCATGCTTGACTTAGAAAATAATTCGAGTGAATTCATTTCATCTCCAAGTGTCGTGCACTTAGAAAATGACTCCGGTGCAATGACATGGACACAACGCTTCTATTCCCCGATTTAAGTAAAGATAAAGTACATTTGAGATAATATAATTATTCCTAATATTTAATTATTTGTATAAATTATTCATCTAAAATATCCTTTTATGACATATTTGAGGTAATACAACTTGGTATTCATATAATGCACTTTATTGGTCATTTTTGCTAGATGCATATAATACAACTATATGCATTTTTAATGTGAAAAGTGGCTACCACTTTTCCAGGACTTTGACACGTGCGGGACATTATCATGAGGTAGTGCTATTTTAGCATACCTATATAGGAAAATGTCAAAAGTTGTTTTTATGCAAAATAAAGAGCTCAATGGGTGTTTGATATTATACAAGTTTGGGCATGGGAGTGGTTTTTGAGACCAAGATTATGAGACGCGAGCTTTAGATGGATAGATTTCACTGGGCTGCAGGTAAATAATTTCGGGTCTAATTAAAGTAAATTTCATTTTAAATTTTAATTCTAGTATTAGAAGCTAAGCTTTTATCATTCACGCAGATGGAACGTCCAAAAATGCTATGATGGGGTCTCGGCAAAACAGTTAGATTTTTACAAAGGAGAGCTCGACTGGATGAAAAATTTTCAGGTATCGAATTTTAATTTAAGTCAATTTAAGCTACTGATATATTTCAAAGAGTTACTAATATATGGCATATTTTGTAGTTTGAGTAGTAGCCATATGAAACTTTTCTACCTCATCTACTACTGATTTGCATGGAGGGCACGGTATATGGAGAGGCAGAGTTCCTCTCATTTGCTTTGAAATTATGGAGATGCATGTGCCAGATTGTGTGCTTAGGCAGTTTGGTTTCGTGCAGCACGCTCCACAATTTATAGAAATAATAGAGAGAAAGACATCTAAGGGTAGGCATCAAATTGACTAGGCACTTGTGCATAAACAGTACATTGAGAGATGGAATTAGCGGCATTTGAGTATCGTCGAGCACATTTATTCTCCGATGGAGAAAACATATTATATAAGATGGTATTGGAGGATTACCAGAAAATGGATAATCATTCAAACCACCCCTTCAGTCAACGAACTCGAGATACGTGCCCAACAAGCATGATACGTACCAAGGGGTGTAGATGATAGAGAATGGATAAGTAAATTACTTAATTTCAAATAATTTCCATTCATTTTTAGTTTTTTAATCTCTTGTTAGCTTTTGGTTGCTTATATATATCCTTTTACATAATTGCAGATAAATGCTATGGATGAGATAGAGGGGATTGCAAATGAGAGAATAGCTACCGTCAAAGAAGATTCAGTACATGTATCGGTATTGCAACAGATAGTGCAGAGGGTTCGTGGAACTCTTCATCGAACTCATAGGGATCAGCATGATGATCGCGAGCAGATGGCGCGTGAGGTGAGGGTATATGTACACCGACGAAGACAAGGTGGATCTTGCTTGCACGATAATGAAACTGGTCTGTCACAGCCCCACATGCAACCGGATAGCGAGCACATACAAACTTAAGTCGAATGAGGACGCCAACGATCTAAGCGGGTATCAAGAGGGGGACAATGGGGGAGAGGCTGACCTTTAGGTTGTATGTGATAGTTTATTATTTTTTTCTGCTTAGATTCTATTTGTAACTAAATATACATGATACATTTAGATTTGTTGGGAGTATTGTGGCGTGTGGATATGCATATAAGGAATCTATTGTGTTGTGATTTGGTTTATTGGATTTGTTGGGAGTATCTTAAAATTTATAACTTATTGGATTTCTTGTGGTTTGCTTTATTGGATTATACTGTTTAGCAATGTATATGGGGTGTTTAGCAATGTATATGGGGTGGATTTACATTTTCCTGCATATGATACATTGTATATATGCAAGGTATAAATTGGGTGTGATCTGTGCCAGATTTGTGCATGATACTAGTCCCGTAGTTTTTACAAAGACTTTGGTCTCAGCTACCCAGCAAATCCACGGAACTAGTAGTCCCATAAATTTGCTGGACAACGAGACCAAAGTCTCTGTAAAACTCACGGGACTACTAGTCTCGTGGGTTTTGTAATAGTGAAAATAGTGAAATAGAAAACCCACGGGACTAGTAGTCTCATAGGTTTTGTGTTTAGTTTAGTGGTCGATTAACGGCCACTAAACACGCGGGACTACTAGCCTCATGTGTTTCAAAACTCAAATCCAGCAAAACCAATCTTTTTTTGGCCAGTTCTTGGTGTGCTGGCCAAAAAGAGGTCGGTTTTGCTAAATATTTAGCAAAACGGTCAGTTTTGCTAATATTTATCAAAACCGTCTTATTTCAAAATTTTCTCCTCCTCTAATAATAATAGTAAGAATGTTTATAGTAATGATATAACAAATTCAAAATGTATATAATTCCACCAGACGGAAACTGCAGTCTGATAAGAGAAGTATAGTTGAGGGGTGTGAGAAATTACAGAGGGGATGATGGTAGACATAGGACAACATCAACAAGCATATAAATGATAGAACCAGCCTCATAAAGAAAACAGCTTTCAACATAATCTCATTACTAATTCAAACACAAGTTAGCAACAAACCATGTAATAATTTAATAATTTTTCATACCAGTAGGAAGAAAAATGTAGAGCAATTTCTTTACCTATCAAGTAGATTGTAACGGTTACCGATTTTAGCATCAACATCATCAATCTCTTTTTCAAGGCTTTGAAGCATGCTGTCAATCTGAAATGCAGTCCAAAAAAGAAAACATCACTAAAAGACATCTATAATAGAATCGCAAGAAGTTAAAAGAGAAAAGATGCAACCACATATGTTCAAAACATAACAAAACTTTGACTTTCAGAGTAGAGGAAGTTCTCTCTAGTCTGCAACTCAAAAAACATGTGGGGACAATACTTCAAAACTCTTTTAAGAAAGCAGATTCCAAACTAAAAATTGTCAGAGCAAGGGAATGGAAGGTCTACGATCAGCTTCCAATGGAATAACGCAAGTAATAAGATTGTAGGATATAAGTTTTCCCATGCCCAATCCAACCTGCTGGCTAGTCATGATTCTGGGAGCTATGCCAGAAACAGGTCAGACTTTGAATGTTAAGCGGTATATAACCACATGACCGACCCTACTGGTATCTTCAGTAGCTCCTTGAGAAGTCACTGGCTTGTCGTGTTACTAACGCTTGGGCTGACATCGTCAACCCTGCTAACATCACCATCATAATATGAAGTCATCCATCGAAAATGGCAACTAACTATATCCTACGGAACTGCTAACATAGTCATTTGCAACTGAGGCTTCAAACCTGATATTGATAATAAAAGTACACACAAGTTAACTGCTGCAAAATTTTCATGATTTTCTATAGTAAAAACACATTGGATATGAGGACGCTACCCTGCAGTAACCAACCTTACTTACAACGCTGTTTCTCCCACCTTCGATCCAAAAACAGAAAACAGTGAATGCTAAGTTAAACTGGGTAAGGTCAAACTTTCATCCCTATTGATTTCATTTGTTTATTTGTTGAATTTACATAACATACTTGAGCCTTCAACAACAGAAAATAGCAGTACTAAAGCTGCCTGCAATTAAGCATATGGACAAGAAACATGCAAAAGAAAAAGTAACCTATTTTAAGTAATGGATTCCTCACCCTATCTTGAAGCGCAGATGTGACCTTATCTTCTGAAGCTACTTCAGTAGCTTCATCTCTCGCAGCTTTGTACAACTTCTTAGCTTCTTCCTCTCCATCAGTACCCTCTTTCTCAAGTAAGGCATTATACAATTCTATCTGCACTTAGCAAAGTTTATATTCTTTCAGCAAGTAAAAAAGCATGTTCACAAAATTAAAAAAAAATAATCCACATAAAAGCAGCCATGAAGGCAATATTGAAGTTAAAACAGAACTATCTGGCATAATGGCAGTGACCACTGAAAGAAATTTACCTCTTTGTTAACAAGGCTCAAAAACTCCTGACGCTCCCTACTGACTGACTGCAAGGAGTAGACAAACAGTAAAAAAAGCTCCAGAAGCAATAGATCATTTTTATTTTATATGAGGAGGAGCTTGAAGAAAGGAAAGGAAATAGTACAGTTGAGGCTTACAGATGCTGAGGCTAGAACAGCCAGAGCACGGCTGATTCTGCCGTATTGCTCTTGCTTTTCTGAAGTTTTTGTTTGTGCAAGCTCTTCTGCTTCTCGAGCAGTAGGACCAGTCATCTCTTTCAAAGCAATATCCTCCTCGCCAATTTCAGATTCCTTTATTTTAGCTTTCTCTTCTTTCTCTAGCTTCTTCTCTTCCTCCTAATAGAAGAATAAAGCATTAAAACAATCAGCTCAAATTGCAAAGTAAGAATTAAATACGTCAATATCCAAACCTTTCCTTATTCACATGTAACCTGCTATATAACTTGACAGAAGTCACATCCTTGGAAGGTTTTCTAGTCTGTACAGCTTTTTGTATATTTGATAAGCTTGAAATCAAACCTAAGCAAAGTATGTGCAAACTACTCGGATTATAGGCATGAAACATTCAAGATTGAGAGGACAAGCTGTCAGGTATCATTTATTGATGAAACTCTTTAAGCTCGTGCAACCAAGGATCCAACCAAAGAAGGAGAACTGCAAGGGTTATCTTCAGGTATTACATTTACATATATTAAAGAGTCAAGTTGACAAATACAGTTATCATTATCAAACATGTAAAATTCTGTCCTGCAATCGACTTGTGCACAAACACAAAATCATACCCCTAGACATATTTCTTAGCTAGTTAATGTGCTAGAACAGTCAAAAGCAACCACTTCGCTTCATATGAAAAATATATTAAGTACCTGAGAGGGAGCAATAAAAATCGTTTTTCAAAGGAGACTTTGTTTCAACACTACAGATGCAGCTCTCTACGTTGCCAATCAAGTGAAAGAAACAGAACAAGTACCACTAGAGGTGCACCACATACTCATCCTACCAGATCAACCACCATATAAATTAAGACTAAATAGCATATTCAAAAAGACAATTTTCATAATGTTTAAGGGTAAGGTTTGAAATTTGAAGTACCAGATAGTATATAGCCGGCTATATCGAATTTTAAGTGTCTGACAATGCGATCCAGCCAAAACCAATCAATAATCATAAATAGACTGATACAGTTAGTACAGAAGATAATCCAAGGTTGGACCAAGGTTAGAAGTACCAAAAATGATTTTATAGGATTATACTAGGGGAAAAGTATAAAAGAAACCTAAATGGAACCATGATAGGTACCAATCCTGATACACTGTCAAAGATAGGATTGAAAACTAATACAATCTACCAATAATCGTGATACATTGACAAAATCGCCGAAATCAATACCATAACAGTAAAAGAACTGCAATAGGTACCAAGATTTCAAACCTTTCTTGAAGGAGCTCAACTGCGCAGATGAACATTAAACTCGAGCTTAAGAGAATGCGTATCCAGAAATGTATGTCAAGCAACCTTTTAAAATCACTGTTCCTATTTTGTTTGCAGATGCTAGAGACAAAACATTCGTAATACTGAATGGAGTTTGTTAGAGCATAATATGCAAGTACCTTAATAAGTTCTTCTTGCATTTCAAGGAACTCCAACTTCCTCTTCCTTTCTGAGATGGAATCTTCAGATGGCAATCCAGTACCAACAGTATCTACAACCTCATCTGGTAGAGATGATAGTGTAGCTACAACAGCCTCTTCAGGTTTCAACTTCCCAGACACGGTGAAGGCTCTGAAAAATAGAATAGCATTAAAAAGACCCGCAAAGAGCAATAACAGAAATCAGCCAAGCTAAAAGAAACTAAATTACCTAGAAAGTATGAGGAGAGAAGATGGAACAGAATGATTCAGAGATAAATCCAACCAATCTCGCAGCTGCAAGAACATTAAAACAAGCAAACTTTAGTTTGGCGAATGCCTATTAAAGGAAACTCATTTTAACAATAAATATATGGGTCTTCTACCTATATAGTATGTACCACCCAAACAAATCACACATCACCCCTACAATTGCCCTAGTGGCTGGGGCTTGGGACCTTGGTTCAAAAGGCCAAGGGTCAATCTGTGTCTATGGCATGCCTATCCCCAATTTCTAATTATTAGGTATCGCAACACTTGTGCTATTCACCTGGATCTAAACTACAAAAGGGGTTTTTTTCCTTTCTTTTTTTTTTTTGTTTGTTTGGTGGGGGGGTTGCAGGCCATGGGGTTCACTTGACTGGTATTAAGCCCAAGGTTCCTCGCACTCAAAAAACAGAAAAACAAATATACTTTGAGTTACCCAACAAATATTCATACGTGACAATTTACCCTCCATTTACAGTTAGGCCTTTAAGTTAACCCTCAGATTTCTGTTCGAAAGTATACATGGTGACATATTTTGTTGAGTTGATAATTTTTTTAATGTGGATGCGAGTGAGCGAGCGAGAGAGCTAAAGAGAGAGATGGTCACCTCTCTTCCTTTTTATGGTTTTCAGATTTGTTTTTAATATTTTTCGGGAGGCAGAATATGAGGGTAAACTTTTTATCCTAATCCCATAATGAATCTAATAGAAGCAAGGGTTACATCAATGGGCTTGACATGATTTTGGGAATAAATTGGAAAACATGAAGATATAGGTTTGATTGTAAAGTTAGAAAACCATGAAAGAAATGGTTGCGTTTAAGACATGTACATACTGACATATTTTCACAAGGAAAGCATAAGAATTGGCTGAAATAGAATATCATAACCAGGAAGCGCTACTGTATATACATTCAAATAGATCGTACCTGCTGGCGCATCTCCTCTGTTGAGAGCAATCCTAGATGGCCTCGCTCACGACATGCTTGACGGAGTTCCTCTTCCGAAAGAGACTCTACACCCTCTGCTTTGATTAGTTTATCATCCTCCTTTATCCTAGGTAAATTAAATGGAGCTGTTCAATCCTTGGAGTCGCATCAAGCCAGCATTTGATGGGTAATTATGTGCATGGAGAATATAGACGAAAGGATTATCCTTTGATAATAATAAAAATACGATAACAGAAGCTAGTGTTGAAATAAATGTCTGATAAATTAACATAATAATAATATCTAAATCTAAAGTGGGCGAAACGGAAATGCAGATGACACTATAGGCTGGAAAATAGCTTTCTACCACTTAATTGTCAGAATTTTCCACATAGGTGATAGGTTATTCCAGCACAAAATCCAGTATGAAAATGTCGACATAATAATGAATATATTTTATTTGTGTACTGCAATGAATATATAAGCAAGAGAATTAAATTGATGATATATTTCATTTCATAATGACTATTATTCTATTTGGATTTGATACACATGGTAATATTACCCAAAATCAATACAGTACCAAGGCAAGTATAGGTGAAGATCAAGGCACATTAACTACTCCATGCATATCCAATAAACAGAAATGGTAATAAAAAAATGTCCTGTAAAGCGAAAAGAAAGCAGCAGAATATCTTTTTTCCCCTTCTTGTCGTTCAGCTGGTTCATGTTGGTGTGGCAGAGGATGTGATCAGGTAGTGGGTGGGTGGTGGAAGTGATGCTAGTGGGTATGTGTTGGCCGAAGGGTGTTTTATGAAGTTAAGTGTGTCAGGGCGTTTGAAGAGGGTGGATCAGAATGACTTTGAGGAGACAAGGTTAAAAAGATTGGTAAAGATCATTAAGCAACATCTGAGTACTCTAGTATAAGTAACATGTCAAAAATTAATCCAACTTGGAAATTTTCATTGCAATATAAATAGTTGGGGGAAAATAATTTTCTTAACAATACGTCAAATATTGAACTTACTGTTGCAATTTTTTCCGAAGCATATAGCGTAAATATTTATCAGTTCCATATGGTGGAATTCCCATATACTTGCACATATTGATCAATCTTGGCCTGCAAAAGAAAAGAAAAAAACAACACATAAGTCATGTAGATGAAGCATTTAAATGGATACCTGGAAATTAACTTGAAAAAAGGTAAAACATAAGTCATGTAGATGGAGCGACCTGCTGATGTTGTCCAGAGTCAACTCATCATTGAATAGTTTTGCAAAGCTTAAGATTTCTTCATTTGAAATGTTAGCACCAGTCCGGACCTAAATCCACAACAATTTGTCATAGAAACAGAAGATGTAACATGTTTCTACATAACCAAAGGAAGTTAGACCAATAGCAAGTTAGCAACTTACCTTGTTCAAGAATTCATCTAAATCTTCTGCTGTCTGTTTGATGTCTCCAGTATGGGAGAGCTGTACCTCTTTTGCCATTTCCTTAGCAGTGTCCTGCAAAAATTTTGCATACTCGATTCGGGCATTGAGTCTCCTTTTTAAAGCTTCCTGCAAAGTTAGTGACAAAAAAAGTACAGTAAGCTTCAGCACCCTAGCTGGAAAGTAGTGTGTATTCATGTATGTATGTATGCATGTATGTATAACATGCAAAAGAAAGCATGCAAAGACAGATTAACTAGACAGTGCTGGATACCAAGGAGCATATGCATCCCCACAAGCGCACTTGCTATAAGTTATACAACTATGAAACTCCCATGAGTTATAAAATAAGTGCGGGATATGTATGTACAACAAATGACAGTTCTCCTATGAGAACATCCAGGGTAAACTTTCATACTGAAAGACTCTGTGTATTGTTATAGCATGTGTCGATTAAATTATTCTCGAGAATAAAATTTCATGTGCTGCGCTTAGTACCTGTTCTTTCATTTTGTCTTGAAAAGTTGATGGCAGCATGTTCGGGAATAATTTAAGAAATACTGGAAGCAAGAATTCCATGAATGGGACAATGATAAAAACAGCAACAGGAACCAGCCTGAATATATCAGCTGTGGTACGAGTTAGTTGCTGCCTTTCCCTCCTGGAGAGACTCTTCCCACTAGCAAGTTTGAGCAATAATCTCGAAGAAATTCTGACATCTACCCAGAGTAATTTCGAACCCAGCCAATAATGCTTCAGAGTAGAAACAAATTCATCCTTCCAATGGCGCAACTTTACAGCCCAGTCAGCCCTGCAATCAGCCAATTCAGTGAGCACATGAAAGCTTGAGTAGAGATGGTCAGAAAAACTGAATTTGCGAAACCTTAAAGAAAGAGCCAATACCTGCTCATGGAAGCAACTGCTCTCAAAGCAGGACCAATACCCAAAAGTTTAACCCACAACTTCTGAACAATTGATTGAGAAACTTTCTGTGATTCTTGAAGTTTTTTGGCTTTTGCTTTAGCCTTTGCATTACTTAGGCCTTCAACTGCCTGGTCACATTCCTCCGGTGATGCTTCTTTTGTTTGTTTTTGATTCTGACCTTCTTTAACATCATCATGTTGTCTTATTTCAGGCTGACCAGCTGTAGCTGTTGACATAGCTCGTATGTATTGCTGCTGCAAAGTCCACCTAACTCCCAAGGGATGAATATCTGATCCCCCATACTGAGTACTGAAAGTTGGACGGCTAAGAAATCCTCTCGATGAAAAGTGCAAGTTCTCTTTTGGCACTAGAATCGACTCCTCCTTACTGTCAGAATAATTAAAACCCTGGACTTTTTTATCTGAGTCCTGACCAGATCTTCCGTGTGCAAAACTAGAAAAACCAGAACACGGACGAAAGGGACCGTTCAGGTGCCTCAACAGGCACTTTCTCCCTCTGACAATTGCTCTTGAAGCCATTTTCGGTTTCCTTTACTTCTATGAAACGAAATGCTATGGTCATATCTTTCCGGAGGCCTCCCTGCATTAATCAACTCACTTCATCTTATGAACATAGAAAGACCATCCTAGGTACTCTGCTAACTGTACAATGAAATTAATGGGACCAACTCCCTATCTAAAAACCCATATTTCCATTGAACCTTAAATATTCACACAAGCAGTAATATAGCATAATTTCCCTCTCTTTTCTTCAGAAACACCCTTTATGTACATGACACCAAGAGCGCGACAATCAAATTTCAAGCACATCTGCAAGTCGCGAGCTATCATAGAAACTAAGAACTAAAATACCGAAGTGACCTTAGGGTTTTGTCGTGTAATAAAATAAATAAATAAAAACATGCATCTCACATACCCTAAATTGTAATACACCCTCTCCTACTTGTATCCACTAATTGAGACAACACAAAATGAACCAACCTCTCCACCAAAAACTTCCTATCAATCTTTTCTGACATAACAACTTTATTTTTAGGGTTTAAAAAAGTTCATCTACCGTCAAAAAAACACGTCTTTTCACGCGAAATCTCAGCTCAAGACCGTCCAGCTGTACGCATTTCGACATAAATCGAGCACTTGCACCCAAAACCTCAAACTAAGCGGAATAACATAACATTTCAAGTAAAAAACAAACAAATTGACCAACCAGATTAGAGCTTGCATCGACTCTAGGATTCGCGGCGAATAATACGGATCAGAGACCGGAATCGAGGTTGAAATTTGTTCGGAAATGTGAATTTTATGAGGGGGTTTAGGGTTTTGAGAGGAGAGAGAGAGAAGAAACTGGACGCGATTTGGGTGAAAAAAAATGAGGAGAAGGGGGGAAATTTTTGACGGAGTGTATTTATCTGGGGAAGAATATGCGAAGCGAGCAAATGGGAAGGGACTCTCATTTTCTCGGGAGGACCAAAATATAGGATCAATAAAAGGGACAAGTGAGGTGTTCTTCTCTTATTGGATAATGAGTTGGTCATCATTAAGGATGATCAACTCATTATCCAATAGGAGGGGGATATCTCACTTGTCCCCTCTATTGGTCTCATATTTTGGGTCCTTGGGAAATTTTCCTTTTCTCGGCATCCCCTAAGCCCTCTCTCTCTCTCTGACAATCAGACTGAGGGTATTTTTGTAAATAACATTGAGTTATTTGGGCTTGTTTAGTGGTGGGCCTTCTTGAGGGTAATTTTGCTGGGCCAAGAGTCTCGCCCAAGTTTACGACGGCCAATTATCTCGAACTACTTTTGGTTTTACAGATCAGCAAAAACTACAGTTTCGTTTGGATAACATTGTGTTTTTTTTAGTTTATTTTTGTTAAAAACATCATGGCGTTATGTTTTTCTCTTAAAGTGTTTTTAAAACACTATGTTGAGTATTTTTGGTCAACACTAGTTTGACCCGTAACAGCATAAGTATTAAACATACTATTAATATATTATATATTAATTATAATAAAATATATTATAAATAAAACGTTATAATATTTATTTTACATTATTATAGTATTATAAATATTAAATATAATACAATATAATATTATATAATGTATGATAATGCTATATTGTAGTCTAATGTGTTATATTATATTATAATTATTACATATTATGTTCAAATAATAATATATTTAATTATTTGGTATATCAATTTGATATTGTTATATTTTATATAATATTCATAAAATAATATTATTGTACTATTAATATAATATTATACTATTATTAATATAATATTACATTATTAATAATGTTAATATTATGCTTTTACTAGTATACTATTAATAAACTAATATATTAGAAATATGTTCATATTATATAATATATTATGGTTTCTAATATTTTAGAGTTTATTAATAATACTTTAATAATATATTAACAATTTATGATATAAATAAATATTATTATATTATGAATATATTATTTTTACACTAAGATTTGTTAGCAACAAATTATTTTACTTTATAGTATGTTATATTATTTATTATGTAATATATATTAAATTTTTATATATTATATTACATTTACTATTCAATATATTATTATAATATTATTATATTATTATATTATGATTAAATATGTTACTATTATATAATACTTTATAATTATTAATTTATCACAATTTATTTATTAAAAATTTAATAATATTATTATATTAATATTTTTTATCAATAATTTTTTATTATCTTCTATTAGTTTATTTATATTTTATTATTACTTATTATTATATTATCAACATATTTAATACTAGTATTTAATAAGTTATTATATTATTATATAAGATATCTTAATTATTATATTTTTATATTATTTAATAAATACTTCTAATATATTAGATTAACTATAATATAGTATAGTATAATATAATATAATATAATAAGTATGTTGACAATAACTATGTATTAATTATATTTAATATATTATATTAGATATTATATTAACACCTTATCAAACTTAAAACCAAAATATCAAACTTAAAACACTTAAAAGGTGGTTTGAAATAAGTGTTGTATTTTTTGTTTGAGCATGATTTAGCTCAAAAAACATCATGGTTTCTAAACGCATGGTGTTTTGTTTTTGGCAAAAACATCATAGAAACAACAAGTAAAATGTTGTGGTATCGAAACGGATCCTAAATTATATAGTTTTACAGAAAAAAAGTTATTTTCCGTTATCACCCCTAAAGAAGACTATCACAAACTTTGGAGTCAGTAGAAAATGTTTTTAAAAAAATATCTTTATCATGTTCTAACATTCACTGGTGATAGTTAGTGATAAGTGGTGGATCCAAAAAAAACATTCTTAGGGAGGCGAATGACAAGTTCATATTTATCCAATAATTAAAATGTAATATTATAAAACAACATCATACAAATTGGCTAAAATTTTCAACTTAAATAGGCTAAAACTCGAGTGAATGCAAGTACTTTTTAGTAACAGGGGGCAAATTGCAAATTCACAATACTAAAGAATGTAATTTTGATTAATCTTAGGGGTGCAAGTGCCCCCTAAGACTATTACTTTCTCTTATAAAAAAAATAAGGTAAATTGCACGATATCTCCGGATTGATTGTCCAAAACATAATCTGTCATTTTAGACAACTTTCAAAACTTAGATGCGCCGGAGTTGCGGATTCCTAAGTTTTGGATACCCAAGTAGACATCTAGAGTAGTGACTCCTTGCAATTCTATAGAAATACCACAAAATTCATTTCGCCTAATGGATGTCAACAATTAAATCCAAGCACAAATCCCCATGTCCAATAATCCAATTGTTAACATCCATTTGGTGCACAATAAATGCCACGAACCGAAACCATTTGATACTTTCCCCACTTAAAAGATGAGCTCTAACCAGCGGTTGCTACAAACCAATGCATTCAAGTACATAAACCTAGTGTAGTACAAGCTAAATACTTGCTAACAATTTACAAGATTTCTCCAACCCTGGAGCTTACTTCGGATACATGCAGTACAGTATATAAGTCATAAAACACACCTAGGTAGCCCTTTGGACTAACATGCACAAAAACATGCACCAAGCGACCTAAGATGACAATGAGGATGTCGAAGAACTCTCATCATCAGAGGGGAACACCGGTGACCTCCCAGGGCTCACAGTCACCGGGCACTGGTGAGCAAAGCTCACAAAGCTTCTCTCATTAACCCTACCTACATCTTTGCAGACATGATCAAGAATTGCTAAGAAATCCCTGACTACCATGAAAATTCTGAACGGGTGTGCTTCTTCCTTAGCCAAGTCCCCATGGAAATACTCAGTTATCTCCTTTACAAGAGATAGAGCGACACCTTCTTGGCTTTGGAGCTTTGTAATCTCACCTTCTGCTTTTCGCAAGAACACGATCATGGCTTCGTGAAAACGCTGACTGGTTTCATTAAACCTCATGACTTCTCTGATCTTTTCGATACCTATGGAGAGTTTTGAGACATAGTTGCTGAGGATTTCAGCGTCCATCGTGGCTGCCTTTTTTACATTGCTGAGCTCTGACCCAAGTCCTGAAACTACATGAAGCCCGAGCTTTCTGCAGTCGAGATCATCCCTTAGGGTCTTGTTTTCGTGTTTGGTGGTGGACTGATTCATAGCGAAGGCACGATAACCTTCAGTTCTTGACATTTCTTGGACGACGAAGTGAAGGAGGGTGGTTTTTCCATCTGTGCCTTTGACATCAACGAGCTTGAGGAGAGTGTCGAGCTTGAAGGCTTGAGCATCGCCACGGTTTGTTCCGACATTCATTCGGTTACCAGTTTTTAGCACAGCATCGAGAAGTTTCCGGAATAATCTACTATTCCTCAACTCTTCACAGGCTAACTGGAAAATTAAAGAAAATTAGTAAAGAAAAGTTGAACCCAACATAATTTGAATTTATATAATTTTTTAAGCTATGGTGCAAACGATGCAAAAGAAAATAATTTTCATGGCATGGTGCTGTAACAAATATCGAATTCCAGGCAACCATACAAATTTGAAACTGACCGTTAAATCTATTTACAAGCATAATTCATCATGTCACAATAATGTTTCATATAATTGTGAAGGAAATAGAAATGTTAATATTAATACATAGTAATATCATATTGAATGCTTAGATGAGATAGTAATATCATATTGAATGCTTAGATGACATATGGGCCAATGATTCAAAATTTTCTCCAGTTTGCTTCTCATGACAATTGCTTATCCTAGCAACCCAGAGTTAGGACAGCTGCATTTTTTCACAGAATGTGTTTCCTTTTTTTCTTAATGTTTTTTTTTTTTTTGGTGTGTGTGTGTGTGTGTGTGGGGGGGGGGGGGGGGGCAGAGGGGGAAATCCAGGGGTTTACTGCACGAGTTTCAGGGTGTTTTGCAAGATTAAGCCCCAACATTGACAACAAAAGATGGCCAAATTAGAGATTTTTGCATGCCTTTGCTTAAACATGCAAACCAATATACAAAGCCCTTAGGATGTGAAACTCTGTAATTTTTTAAACGTACTGAGCACAATTGAGAAGAACATAACATGTGAGAAATACCATGAGGAATACCAAACATCAAATTTCCAAAACCACATCTGCGTAAAATATTCATTTCATGTAGTGGTACGAACAAAGAGTCAACAAACTGCCGTCTACTGCCCACTTGATGGACTTCTGAGAATTTGTTTTCTACATTTCCCTTGTAATACTCCAGACAATTGTGTGTGGCACTGTATAATCCTTCTCAAATATATAATTCCATGCATGGACAAGTCACAATGGACCCATACATATATACAATAGATGCCCATAACTTCAAATTGGAAGATCGTATCTACCAATCAAAGCACTAAAATATAAATGCAGTTACCAGCCTCCAAACAAGTAACAGTAATTTGTTATCAAAACAGACTTTCATGCCCTTTATCTTTAAAAGCTTCCACCAGTTCATAACTGGGAAGCTATAATTAACAATCACCAATTTTTGCCTAAGTGCAGTTACCAAACAACCCTTTGCTCTATCGAAGCCCTAATTTTTATTGAAAGATTAACTTCGTCCTCCAACTAATACAAAAAGAAAAGAAAAGGGAAAATTGAAAAGGCATAACCATTGACAACAATCTTGCACCACTGGATGTAGCTTTAATTGGTAAAACAGTTTCTTTTTATCGATCAAAACCAGGATACCACGCTGACCTATTTTGTTTATGTTAAGGAACGGCGAGCACTAAATTTTCAGGTTTTCCAGTATATCGAAAGTTCAGATAGAGAACAAAAAACTAACATGAAATTTATGTACTCTGCAAAAAATATCATAAATGTCTTTTATTAAAGGAAACAAGTATGAATTTTCAAAAATTTTGAAAAAAAAACAGTTGTACGTGTAAAATTTTTTGCTAAGGTGGTTAACAGTTTGGACAAAAGGTATAACTTTGAAAACAGGAGAGGGTAATAGAAAAGATATAAAAAGTAAGGACAACATTCTCCAAAAAAAGAAGAATTAGACTTACCTCAAGAGTTTCAAATGAGCTCATAAGATAATGAACCTCGGATTCGAAATTCGTAATATAAAGCATAGCATCAACTCTTTTGAAAGCAAATGGTATATCAAGCATCGCCTTGAGAAATTTTTCTGCTGGTCCAAGCTTGTATGGGGATTCATCGTTGTATTCCCTCAGTTTAATTTCTTCTTCTTTGCTTGGAGCCATTTTTAGTAATGTTTCTAGGAGTTCATTTCCCAAGCTATCAGTATTACCTGTATTCAACGATAAGCATCATGTGAACAATCAAAACCAAAAAGGCAGATTTTCAGAAGCAAATGCATAAGAGAGCTCGATGGAGATAAGTCTCAACCAAAAAGGTGTACAGTCCTTATAGAGTATAATGTAGGCCTCATTGAAGTATCACAGATGAAACATACAATAAAAATTACAAAATAGGCCCTTTAGCTCATAGATCATAACATAGGCAACACCCCCATGGGGCAGAGTTTATTTAACTAGCATATAGTCACATATTATCTTCAAAACTTCGATCTAGAGATGCATATTGAACTTTAAATACCTATTATGAAGTTAGCATGGAAAAAGAATCCCAAACACCAATAGTCCTCACTATAATATCAACATCCGATGGCTCTTTTAGATCATCAACCTTAAAAAAGAGGCTATTTTTTGCAGTGAAATAAAAAAACATGTCTTTCAAGCAAATAATGACTAGTTATTCACAACTCAGTAAAATTCAAGTCTATGGAAGAGCGACCGATGATATGTTAATAAAAGTCTCCAAAGTCTGTATTCAAATAATAATAATATTTTAACAAACATATCAGACCAATTTCAGTAGCTCCCAAGTGTCTGATCTTGAACTGAAACACAAGTGATGACATAAAGAATAGAGATAACAGGAGGTGGCTTATTCACATGAGAATGTTCAAAATCTTGAATGTCATAAAAATAGGGAATATATGATGGATAGGCACAGTGAACTCACTAAAGACATCTAAAAAGAATGAAGAACAACAATCTCAGAAAACAATATTGCATTCAATATTTACACAGCCTGGCCAAGTGATGGTATGACAAAAATGTCCAAAAGGTGAATAAAATAATGCCACACAGTAACTCTAGAAAATCCCTCATTCTTGAATTTAAAACATAACATTCTTACCCCCAAACTCCATAGGTTTATTTACGCAAGCTAGCAATAAGCCTAATGGAAAACGGTTATTCTTTGCAAGTTTTCACAAGTACCACAAAGCACCGGAGAGCGGAGAATATTTCGTTGAATTTTTTTCATGAAACAACAGGCCTCATTCATATTACTATTAAGGTCTTGAATGGAAGTAATGTAGAGAATATGCGCTTCTTATTAAAATATAAGGAATACAGCTCTTGCAGTTGTGTTGACAGCGACAAGTGGTCCATGAAGGATCAATAGCTTAAGTGAATAATATGTACAACCAATATGCAACTATTTTCAACCGATCTACTTAAGTGCAGCTCTATCTGCAATGAACGAGAGAAACTTGATAGAGCATTATTGATGAAAACATGCTATTGTCTCTATCGTCATCAAAACTATACAAATTCCCAAAAGGAAAAAAAAATTACGTAAATATCAGTAGATAACAACGTCCTTCCTCTTGGTCCTACCTGAACCTATGCGAAATTATTGGAGACATGATCAAGAATTAATGCTTCAGAAGGTAAATACATAGAAAATAATTGCATTTTCTGGCATGTTTCTCCTTGTCGAAATGTATGCAGTAATCATGTGGTCAGTCATCTGATAGACAAATCATCCCCGAACAAACTCCTCATCAACTTGAAATATCAAATAGCCAAGGAGCAAGATATAGAACTCTACAAGAACAAGTCTAGGAGAGGGGTCTGCAATCATTGTATTGGCTAAAAAGGAGAGGTCATACACAAAATCCACTTTGGCGAATAGCTACATATATCCTATTGAATATGATAGAAATGTGATGGGATATCCCACATTCTAAGAGCAGTTAGACGAATATATGGTTAAATATACTTGAACTCGCAACTCAAATAGGATAATCCCACGGCGCAAAAAAGAAAGCCAAACTGCACAAGCATTGCAAAAGGTTGACATATATTTGAATCATAGCCACCCAAGGGAGGAGATGATTCACCTTCCAAAAGTGCTTCACAAACTTCCTCCTTAGTGACATTCAAGGCCCGCAACAAAATAGCAATATTCTGTGATTTCTTCGCATCAAGCACTGCATTCTCCTGCACTGAGCTTGACACCACCTTCCTCCTCCCATTTACTACCCCATTCGTTGAATCACAACCAAACAGTGTCTCCATCATCTCCTCATTCAGCCTACAACAACCAACCAAATTCAACAATCAACAAAAACACAAAACACAAGCAAAATCCTAGAGACCCTCAAGCTCCTTACTGGAATGAGCTTGACTTCAAGTGATCCCAAACCATTGCCCTCTCCGAGCTCGCTCGAACCTTGTCCCAATGCAAAGGCTTCAACTTTGGCCTTCTGTACTCTTCGAATTTGCTCCCTTCATCTGAATTCTCCGTTGATCCATCAGAAACGACCTCGGCCACCGCAGATTTTGGAGGAGTGAGAACTGGTGGCTGTAAATTTGCGGTCTTTGGTGCCTCGCCACCCCAGATTTGCACAGGAGGGGGAGGAGGCGGAGGTGGCGGAGGCGCTTGCCTACGTGGCGGACTGGAGGCAAATGGGTAAAATGGCTGCTTTTGCTCATTTTTTCCTAAAAAGAAGCGATTTTTTGGCGGAGGCGGGGGAGGCGGAGGAGGGATGAAACTCGCCGGCGAGGAGGTCGGCGTGCTCAGCGTCGACGCCGGAGAGTGGGACCCATATTTGGGCTTACGGGCCCCAGCACCGGGGGACCTACCGTCCCTGGGCGAGTAGAACTCCTCGTCAGAGGAAAAGCTCCGGCGAGCCTGGCGCGGAGAGAGGCCGGCAGGGGCGGAGCCTCCGGCGGATTCCGCCGGCGGCGGCGGGGCCGCACCTCGCCGGAGGTGCCAACGGGGCCGCTGGGCTTTACTAGGGTGCCAAGGGTACAGGAACTCGTGCTGCGCGCGCCTGACGTGACCGCTAGCTTGCTCGTGTCGGACGATGACGTGGCGTCGGGTGGGACCAGCGGCTGATATCGGATCCTGGCGTCCCCGCCACCCTTACGAGCTCGCGTTTCCGGCGAAGGACGAACGAAAGGTGCGCCGTTAAAAACAAAGAGAATGAGGCCGAGAACGGGGAGGGCTATTATGGGAATAAGTTTGGAGGAGAGGGGGGTATTACGGGAAGGGGAAGCTATAGAAGACAGATTCGCTGGGAAAGTGGGGAGAGAAGGGGTAGGAGGAGGCGGAGGAGGAGAGGGGTATAATGGGAAGAATGGGGACCTCGTAGAAGTGGAGGAAGATGACGAGGGGTGTTTTGGGAAGGACGAAGGAAGGGGAGGGGAAGCCGAAGGAGGGCTGAGTCGGAGGCAGAGGAGGAGTTAATGCGGAAGAAAGGCTGGTGAGGGCTCTGCGGCCCGCTGGGGAGGGGCATTGTGGGAAGAGATGGGAGAGAAAAGTTTTGCTCTTCTCGGGCTCTGAGACGAAGAGGGAAAAGGAGAGGGAAAAGGAGAGGGGTTTTGGGTTTTGTCTTTTGCTGTAGGGTAAGGATTTTGTAAATTTCGGATTTGTTGGGAGTTCTGTGAGAAAGTGAGGAATTGAAAATCGATAAAAAGGTTGCAGTGGGCGATGGACTAATTGTGAATCTAAAATTGATTATCTTAACTGATCATGGGATTTTCAGAATTTTGTTATTTTTTTTTTTTAATTGAATCTAATATTTTTGAGCGAAGCAATGTATTCTGTTGACCATTGTGGTCAAATGGGACGATGGGCCCCGCACACTACTGCTACACGCTTGCAGTGTTAAGTAGAGTGCTCGTGTTAATAAGGTTGCTGCAGAGGAGACACAGGTCACACAACTCTATATCTGCTTATCAATTGACCATTTGACATTGTAATCTCCTTTTAATAGGATTTAACACGTGGATAAATTCCACAATTAGAAGTGTTATTGTGGGTGATTTTTAGTTTTTCTTTTTAAGGTTTTTCTATAGAGTACTCATGGGTACTCTATAAGGGAGGAGAGAGATAGAGAGAAATGAATAGTCCATGAGCCCCTCTGATTTGTATTAATTTCTGTGCATAATTCATTTCTCTCAATCTCTCTCCTCCCTTATAGAGTGCCCATTGGCACTATATAGAAAAACCGTTCTTTTATAACCCCAACCTGAGATTGAACTAAATAATGTGGGAGGTATACTAGAACATCATAAATGTTTGGATCACCAGGGATTGGTAATTGTAGTTTTTTTTTTTTTGGAAGAATGCTAAGAAATTTCACTTCAGAAAAACATGATCCGTACTTTTGAAAAACAAAACTTCATGCTAATTTAATTGTGTCTTATCTAAAATGTTATTAATAGGTATTAATACATAGTTAAAAAAAATTAGATATCTACCTCTTGAATGTTGGATAGCAGGTTCCTAATATGTTTCCTAATTTGTTTTGATAACAGGTTATTGAGATTTCTAATCTGTTTTGGTAACATGATTCCAAATCTGTTTGGTAACAGATTATTAGGATTCCTAATCTGTTTTGTTTTTTATTTTAGAATTCCTAGTATGTTTATAATTTTAGGATTTCTATATATATAGAACAATTGGAAGAGAGAATTGATAAGAAAATTAGGGATATTTGGAGCACAGAAAAAATGTATTTTCTGAGCTATTGGTTAGGGTTTTGTTTGGAGAGAATTAGAGATTCGTTGGTGAGATTAATTGGTGAGTTTGAGTGCTTTGTAATCTCAGTTTGTACTCTTCTTCATTATTAGTGAAAAACCATATCCCCTTCTTGCCCCATGGTCATAGGCAACTTGCCGAACCACGTTAAAATTGATTGTTTGTGTTTTTGGCATTGATTTGGTTCGTCTGGCCTTCTCTCGACGTTCGTTTGATTTGATTTCTCGTAGCACGTTGGTTTGATTGTTTGGCTTCTGCAGCGCACAACAAGTGGTATTAGAGCTCGGGCTACGCTTGGGCTATTTGGAGGAGTAGGTCGTTTTAGAGGCTCGCCCAGGGCTTCGTTTGGTGATAAAGGTGGGATCTTTTTGGTAAAGACTCTTTCCTTTTTAGTTTTGGATCTATTCTTTATTTGTTCCGCAATTATTTTGGTGCTTTAAGAAAGATGGTTGGGAAAGAAGGAGTTGTGGAGGGTACTTCCGGCGTGAAGACCGTCCAAAATTTGAATATTCACTTTATGAAGATAGATGTGGAAAAGTTTAATGACACAAACAATTTTGGTCTTTGGAGATGTGAAGTCTTAGATGCGCTCAATGCGCAAAATTTAGAAGATACTTTGAAGTTGGACGAGAAACCGGACGACATTGAGGAGAAGGTTTGGAAAAAGATGAATAGAACGGCGTGTGGTGTGATTAGATCTTGTTTGACTTAAGATTTAAAATATGGTGTGATCAATGAGACTTCGGCTAAGAAGATTTGGGAGATCCCAGAGGGCAAGTATTTAATCAAGAGTATAGAGAACCGCTTGCATTTGAAGAGGATGCTTTATTGCTTCCAATTAAAGAAGGGATCCTCCATTGGTGATCACATGAACCACTACACGAAGCTTCTTGCGGATTTGGCGAATGTAGATGTGATGATTGAAGATGAGAAAAAGGCGTTGTTGTTGTTGAGTTCCTTGCCTGACGAGAAATATGAGACATTTGTTCTTACTCTTATTAATGGGAAGGCATCTCTTTCTTATAGTGAGGTCACCGATGCACTTGTGAATTATCAGCTTCGAAAGAAGGATAAGGAGATTTCAATTGAGCCGGTAGCGGGGGCATTGGTCGCAAGAGCAAAGAGTCCAAACCTTGATAGAAGGTCACAGTTTAGAGGAGCACATCTTAAAGTTCGTAGGAATCAATGTGCCTTTCGTAAAGATGATGGACATTAGAAAACCGAATGCCCAAAGTTGGTTGATTGAGCCGGGAATAATAAGGGGAAAGCTATTTAAGCTTTAGAGGTGAATGTTGTCAAGGCTAGTGGCAATAATTCAGATTCGGATTTTTTGGGCTACTCGTTATCTGTCCTACTGTCAGTTTGTGTTGCCAACTCTACAGAGTGGATGTTAGATTCGGGTGCTTCTTACCGTATTTGTCCTATGAGGAATTGGTTATCCAGCTTTCAGGAGTTGGAAAGAGGGGAGGTCGTGCTTATGGGTAATGATCATGAATGTCCTATTGGTGGTATCGGTACCCTTCGGATCAGGATGAGTGACGGAGTGATTCGGGAGTTGGTTGGAGTGAGGTTTATTCCTTAGTTGAAGAAGAACATCATTTCACTTGGAGTTTTAGAAGCAGCAGGCTATAGAGTGGCCTTGATCGATTCACGTTTGAAGGTCATATTGGGGTCCATGATTGTGATGAAGGGCGTCAAGAGGAATAATTTGTATTATTTGATTGAGAGCACGGTGTTTGATAGAGAGCTGACGATTTCTTTGGATTTGGCTAGACCGTGGCATTTGTTGAGGCCGGATTATTTGATTGGTTATGTCGTGTATAGTTTGTTGAGGAGTGCTTTGACCTGCAGGTTGAAGTCCTTTGAGCACATTGGCATGAGCAAGAAGATCGAGGTGGAGTTTGGCACATCTATCCATTGATCGAGGGATCTTTTAGGTGGTGTTCAGTCAAGCATTTGGGGGCCTTCTAAGGAGGCATCATTGGGAGGTAATCGGTATTTGGTTTTCACAATTAGGGATTGTTCTAGACATTGGTGAGTTGCAACCATGTCCCGTTGTTGTGAAGTCCTAGAAGTCAATAACAATTGGAAGAAGTGTATTAGCATAAAAGTAACCCGTTGTTCTAGCTTTGATAGGGGTTCTTTCTTGCATTTGTGTCGAGCTCGTGGCAGTTTGAGATACTTTATTGATGTGGAAACATTAGGACAACGAGATGAGATGACAGTTTTGATGGGTCATTCCTTACTGGAGGGGATCGACGTTGGTTGTCGAGCATTGTTTTTTGTTTTGGAGCTTCGACATATTTGGGTCATCTTGATCATAGGTTGTCGACTGCTCCGTATGGAGATTTAGATCTGGTGGAGCTGCTTCAGATTTTGGATTACGTCGGATATTTGGTTGCCCAGCATTTGGTCACATCGAGGATGTGAGATTTGATCCGATTGCACGTTTGAGATATTTGGTTGCCCAGCATTTGGTCACATCGAGGATGTGAGATTTGATCCGATTGCACGTTTGGGATTCAGAGGTTCGTTTGATTATCAGTTAGGAGCTTCTGATTTTGTTCTGAGCGGGTATGTCACATTTGACTCTCGGCAGGTAGAGAGTGTCGATCAGATCATTAGGATATCACAACGGGCGGAGGGTGATGTTACTTCATATTGGGTGGAGATTACTCCACATACTCTAGATCATACTGCATCGTTTGGGATTCTAGCTGAGGTGACACAGTTTGGAGATCATTTGGATTTGGATACAGATGATGAGTTGGTTTTGGATTCGAATGCAGCTAGTGGACATGTTTTGGATACGACCATTGGTTCACCTCAGGTGGATGTATTTGATTTATTTCAGTTTGGGGCCATTGGGAGCGCTATCAGTTGCAGATCCATTGGTGATAATGGTGAAGAGTTGTAAACTTTTCTATTTGATTAGGAGCCTTTGGAGGCCGTTTGGGTAAACTACGTGAAGGCTTGATTCCTTCGGTAAGAGGATATGTAGGCAGTCATTTATGATATAGCCGGTTTGATGAGTTAACACCGACATTGGAGTTTGTTCGCATTCTCGTTTTGGTTCTCGACTTATTGTGGATTGAGTCCGTTATCGTGGATTTGTTCCACTTTGTACTGGACGCAACAAGTGAGACGTTTGGTTGGTATTGGTGTCGACTCAGTTTTGGGAAAACTTCGCCGAGGTGGAGAATTGTTGGATAGCAGGTTTCTAATATGTTTCTTAATTTGTTTTGGTAACTAGTTATTGGGATTCCTAATCAGTTTTGGTAACATGATTCCAAATCTGTTTTGGTAACAGGTTATTAGGATTCATAATCTGTTTTGTTTTTTGTTTTAGAATTCCTAGTATGTTTACGATTTTAGTATTTCTATATATATGGAACAATTGGAAGAGAGAATTGAGAAGAAAATTAGGGATATTTGGAGCACAGAAAAGAGTTATTTTCTGAGCTATTGGTTAGGGTTTTGTTTGGAGAGAATTAGAGATTCGTTTGTGAGATTAATTGGTGAGTTTGAGTGATTTGTAATCTCAGTTTGTACTATTCTTCTCTATTAGTGAAAACCCCTATCCCCTTCTTGTCTTGTGGACGTAGGCAACTTGCTGAACCACGTTAAAATTGCTTATTTGTGTTTGTGGCATTGATTTGGTTCGTTTGGCCTCTCGTAGTTCGTTTGATTTGATTTCTTG